CCAAATTCTCCAAATAACGTCATTATTAAGAAGAAATCCGGAAAAAAAAAGTTAATATGTCAAAAGTACCTAACCTTTTACTACTTTAGTATTTTTTGCTGAACTTCCAAGTAGCAGGGGAGACAGTTTTGACCAGCTCGGTGAACTGTTAATTTCGGATTTCGATTAAATCTTCTATGCAATTAGAACTCGTTAAATTGCATCTGAATATAGAAAAATGATATATGTACTAGTTTTACTTCCAGAGATTTAGTCAATTGAAGATTTGTGAAAAAGGTCTATTAATACATAGAATGTAGGTAAAAAGCGGCGAAAATATGCATTTTATAGTTTGTTCTTATGTTGTATTGTTACACCACTGTCAAAGTACAAAGGAGGGTTTGGCGCCAGTTGACATGTTTAACCCCGCTACACTCTGTATGTGCTTGTCCCCAAGTCAGGAGCCTGTGATTCAGTGGTTGTCGTTTGTTGTTGTCTATCATATTTGTTTTTCGTTCAATGTTTTATACATTAATTAGGCCGTAATTTTTTCTTGTTTGAATTATTTTTGCATTTGACATTTCGGGTCTTTTATAGTTTACTATGCGATATGGGTTTTGCTCATTGTTGAAGGCAGTAAGGAGACCTATAGTTGTTACGGTAAATCTACGTCATTTGTTCTGTGGTGGAGAGTTGTCACATCAGCAATCGTATCACATCTAACTTTCTTTGTATTTTTCTTTTTTTTTAAATGCGATATTTTTTTTAAATCAGTCTAAAGAATTTTGTTTAAAATTGATATGTAATAACTGTAAACATGTCCGATTTTTTTTCGATTTGAAAATAGTTTAAATGTCACAGGGTTAGTTTTGCTGTCATAGTCATTTGTGAATGCGCAAATGTGTGAAAAAAAATACATACATACATAAAGTTCTGCATCGTGACGCCGTCATGAGGTTACAATTTCTTGTCGTTTTGACCCTTTTTCACGCTGTATATCGAGAATAATTTATTTTTTATCTAAAAAACCCAATTCAGTGACCCCTCATATTTTCATTTGATTAAAACGAAAAAGTTAACAGCAATAACAAATTTAAATATATATCGATATTCCATGGACGGTTTTTCGAGAAATCGTCGTTTCAAGGCAAAAAATGAATATTCCCGTACACCCTATACTGACGTTTATAGACATATTTCACGATTTTTAATAATTGATAATATCTCTGGAATTATGAATGTTACATTTATTATTTATCCAATATTCAAATGCAGTTCAATGACTTCAAAATGCATACAAAATTTCATATAAAATTTGATACACCACCCAATTACGTATACTTTACCTTTATTATGGCAAGAGACATTTTTAAATCATAATTGTTAAAAAAAAAACTTTCGATGAACATATACAACCAGCCATTCGGGACAAACCAAATTCAAGACATTAAAAAGAAAACATTTAATATGTTTAAATAATCTTCTTTTTTTTGTAATTTGTTTATTTTTGACATAAAGACAGAATACATCAAGCTTGATTACATGTGTACAGTTTCAAGTATGGTCTTTAAGATATTTCTTTTAAAGATTATTCTATTATATCAAATCTAAATAACAAAAACAAAAAATGATATAGTTATAATTTTGTACCAGTTTTATATATAATAAGCTAAGATAAGATCAGAAATATTTAAATCACATAGGACAGATTCTATTGACAACCGTGTTTTATATATATACTCTTTTTGAGTAGGGGATAAATAATTAGCCGTATGTTGTTCTATTCTTATACAATATTTTAAATATTAAGTACTGCCTTTGAAGAAGCTCCTACATTTTTACAGCTATACATATAATATTTCAAAAACAGCATTACATGTCGAACTGTACTATATGGGTAAAAAATGTTCCCAATTTTCAATTTTAACACATGAATCCTCGGACCATTTGTATTGTGATCTTCAAGGATTTTCTTTAATATTGTCTAGAAACAATTGATGAAAATATATTTATTTATTTTTATTTTTTTTTTTTTTTTTATTTCTTCTACAATATCATTTTCAATAACATCTAATCTACGGTGCTCTGAAGATATTTTTCCAGCTAACTGGAATTGCACTAACAAGACCATAATATTCAACAAAATTTGTACTAATTGTATACTTAGATTTAAGCTGTTCAGATCTCATTATGTTTTTTCCATCTGAGATTAGATCATGTATGAATAATATACACTCATTAAAGTAATGGTTATAAATAAATGACTTTCTAATCTTTTAATATTAATATTCTGCCATATGGGTTGACTGAAGATGTTAAGGCATTGTTTTCATTTTTCATCTTTCCTGGCTTCAATTTTTTCTCCAAAAAGGTGCAATATTTCATCCTCTGTATAGTTTTCTAAAAATGTATCCTTGTTTAAAAAAATGAAACGAATTCCCAACAGTTTAATCTCTCGTGATGTATTCCATGATACATTCTTATTTGGTAACAGTTTTTCATTACTGCCTAATCTTGAGCCAACCCATATGGCTTCAGTTTTATCTACATTTACTCTCAAACCAGCACAAGCAGCAAAGCTATCAAATATATACAAAGCTTGTTTAAGAGATTGCTTTTGTTCATCTAGAATTGGAGAACATTAACCCTATATTGTCTGTTTAAGTTTCTCACCTAATGTTGTCAATATAAAGGAACTATATAAAAAAACTGTCATATAAGTGGAAGGTTAAGCTAGCTATAAAACCAGACTGAACTCACAATTTTCTTCGGAAAATGCCCGTACCAAGTTAGGAATATTACAGTTGTTTTCACTTTCACTTTCTTAATTGATAGCGTTTGATTTTGACATTTTTTATGGACATTTCCTTTTTTAATTTGCATTGAATATCGGTATTTTTGTGATACTTTTTTACAATAAAAATTCACAAATATAGTACTTTTATAAATTTTATTTTAGAATAAACAATAGCTACAATTATTACACATGTTAGATAAATGTTTAAAATTGCCAAGTGAGAGTCGAGAGTCTAAAGTTGAGACATTTATATATGGGATCATCTCAAAAGTATCAATTTCATAATTAGCAGTACATTACCAGCTTTTATAATATTCCATCCAAAATATAAATAAATTTTAACAAAAAGCTGTTCAAGCAAACAATTGACAATCAATGTCATTCCATATTTTGTAAGTTTAACATTTTTTTTGTTTGATTGGTTGGTTGGTTGGTTAATAAAATGTGTACATTATATCAAGTGACAAGTTCTACATAACGTTGGGTTGGTTGATCGCTGGGTGTATGAATTGATTGATTGGTTGATTGATCGATGAAATGATTTATTTCATGATTAAATGACAGTATGCATAACGTATAGAGACGGTGACCACTTCCTCAATATTCCGGAGCACCTGAGATCACCCCTGGTTTCTGGTGGGGTTTTTGTTGCTCAGTTTTTAGTTTTTTATGATGTGTTTTAATACATAACTGTTGTTTGTCTTATGGTCGTTTTTTTGTTTTATCATGGCGTTGTCAACTTTATGTCGACTTAAGAGTTTGAATATTACTTTAGTATCTCTCGCCTCTCTTTGAATACCCGGGACGATTCTCTTGGAATATGCGAAACAGAAAATACGACGGAATTATCAAATTCACATAGACACGTATAAAAAAAACCTACAAAAGGTTCCGATCAAGGTAGGATTCTAATTACAATGAACACAAAATACACACACAACACCCAAACAAATCATTAATTCTGATACCCTAGAATGAAACGGAAATTTATGAATGAAGATTCACGTATATTTTTGGGAGAAAAGGAGAGCAGTGTTAAATGTTTGCATGAACCTAGAAATCCCATGATTTAGATACATATAAACATGTTGTACTGAAATGAAAACATGTAATTTAAGGGGAACTAGGTCCTACTCCTTTTTTTTGCCTGATCCTAGGAACCCAACCCCGGGTGTATTTTTTTTTTTTATTCGAGGAATTGGTTCGCGGCCTGTCTCTTAAGTTGGAAGGGGGCATTTATCATTCTGCATAATGTGCTCTAAATATTTGTCAATGGACGTCAAAGTAGCAATCAATGAATGAAACAATGAAATTTTCGATCAATCAACAAATTATTCAATCTAACAAACGAACCAAGCCAATCAATTGATTACTGAACGCGGAATTCGTCAAGTAGTATGACATCATGCAAAATTTCAATCAATCAATCACTCAATCAATTAACCTACCTTACTTGTACCAACCAACCAATTCATATGAAGAACATGCAATTGATAATAATAATTTTTATCTATATAATTTATAATTTAATTTATTACATGAATTTTAATTGAATTTGTAATTATTTAAATGATAAATCTTTTTGAAATTGTACAAAAAACAAATTTTAGGAAATGTTATATTTACATATATTTAAATGTGAAATGTTTTGTAGATATGTGTCTCATAAGCCAATCTTATGGCTGGGTACTGATTGTTTTAATGTATATTTTTATTATGTCATTAGATAATGTTCAATCAGTATGTGACACAAAAATAAAATAAAATTTATTATTATTATTTATGCAAAAATTTTGACAACCTACAAATCAACCAATTATCATGTTAGAAAGGTGAAAGGACTTCACTCATATGTATTTTTATATTTATTGAAAGCAATATTAAAAAATGCTATTGGTGTGACGAGTAGTCAATAATTAAATTAATGCTTTTGTGACGACCCTTATTTAAATTTCCCAACTGTAAACCCTCGACTGTCAATTGTAAACTTTATCTAACATGTCTACTAAGAGTAGATTGTTTAATCAATAACAGTAATGACTAAGGCGTAGATTTTCCGATATTATCAGTACAGAATATGATAGATTTTTACCGAAATAAGTGGTGACTATAATATAAAAAACAATCAAACATGGGTCAACCAATTAGTAATATACGTGTTAATTTTGTTTTACTGTAGACTAACACGGGACATTTTGATTAAGTCATTCTATTACATATATAGTTCAAGAAATAGATATTTAATCGAGGAAGATAGCATGAAAGCTTAGAAGCTGGGATAAATAGAGATGGCAGTACATAGCATCATTTCATCACTGCAACCAATATTGCCACAAGACATACAAGGACAAATCCAGGCATCAGCATCAAGCGGCACAGGTAGTAAAACAAGTATTATATCTCAAACACTTTTAATTGAATGGGTACCTATGTCACATTGACATAAACTTTACTTTTATCTTGAGAAAGACCACTTTTAAGTAATTATAAAAACTTCTTAAGCATTTCATCATCATTTGCCGTTTATCATCGAAAGGAGAAAGGACAGAAAAGTGATTTAAGCAATACAAAACTAAAACAGGACCCTGACATTTCGAAATTATGAAATGGGAGATATTGATGTCAGAAGAACATGAAAATACCCCTCGAGAACTTTTTTCGGCTATATTCAATTATATATTTACGGGTTCAAGAAATAAAACCAAGAAAACTGTTTAATTTCGGTGAAAGTGAACTAGTTATGATAAAAAACGCAATTGATTTTTTTTTTCAAGTATCAGACTGGTTTTTTCTTACTTCTTTCTCAAAAAACCTTCTATATTTTAAGGTACCCTAGACCTTGATGACGATGTTAAGAGATGGGTAGTTATAGGACTTTGTCTTCACAACGTCTTGACGCCAGCTTTGAGAATATATGTCAGTCCAATTATTACTCAGATGTATACTTCATTAGTATCAACCGATCACATCAATACACAAACGTCTCACAGCTATCTCAGAATATATCTACCAACAAAAACGAAACTAAACTATGAAACAATCAATAACAACAAAACTCTTTATGGTGGACAAACGTGGAAATACGACCGTTGTGTTAAAAATCCTATTGACTTATCGAAGCTTTTCGTACAAACGCATATGGCCCAGTACATAGCATTCGATTCCACATGCGATTCGTCAGCATTACTTGCGATTATTATCAATATTGATCAGTTTCCATTGGCCGTTCAGGAGGAAGCAAATGAAGTAAGATTTTCTTATAAAACAGTAAAAGAACAGAACAAGAAAATGTTATCATTTTGCCTATTACAATACTAGTAGTATAATGAGGTACCAATGTTACTGCAGCAGATTGGCATTTCAACAAATAATGTCTTTTCAGTTATGCTCGAGGCCATAATATTAAAAATCATTTCTAAGCAAGCGTTTGACAAAATTGAATTTCTAGTTCCTTATCTATCAAAACGCAAATAACTAACTACTTAAAAAGTAAAATCACAAAAGTACTGAACTCCGAGGCAAATTCAAAAAGGAAAGTCCCTAATCAAATGGCAAAATCAAAAGCTCAAACACATCATACGAATGGATAACAACTGTCATATTCCTGACTTGGTACAGGCATTTTCTTATGTAGAAAATGGTGGATTGAACCTGGTTTTATAGCTAGCTAAACCTCTCACTTGTATGACAGTCGCATCAAATTCCATTATATTGACAACGATGCGTGAACAAAACAAACAGACACAATAGGTAAAAATGTCAAAAATAGGGGTACAGCATAAATTATATCTGTATCATGATGTCCGGTAACGCAATACTAAACATTTCAATGAGTGCTTACATCTCATATAGTCCAGTGAACTTGAGATTAAGGATACTACCGAAAGTAGAAGGTCTGTTTCATATGTTGATCTTTCCTCGGTATTGACTCAAACTAGAATACAACGCGAGGATTTCAACGTTCATATTGTTAATTTTCCGTTTCTCAGCAGTAACAACCCTCTGCTCCATCGTTTGACGTTTACATATCTCAGTTAATGATGGTGCAAATTAACATTATACAGTCGCCATAAACAGAGATGTGCTCCTTTAACAAAACCTGTTCCAACAGAGTTGTTAAGAAGAACGAATGAAATCAACACAACGGTCACCATCACAAATTGGTTGACAGCTACGATATGTAGGTGTCTCAACTCACTATCGACAAGTTTTCGAATTCTTGGATCATAAGATACCCGAAAAATCATCTTATCAGTAATTTTACCGATTAATTACTTCTCCTGATTGTTACATTTTGACTGAGTGTGGATTTGCAGGGTAGTTATTGCAAGTATAGCATGACGCTTACCATGTCGACACACTTGGTCACGCTCATTTTGGTTTTTGCTAGTTACTTTGATTTGTCTCTTCTTAACCGATGTATGAGATTTATACATCAGTAAACTACTGTCGCCATAATCGATTCAGCATTGGTTCATAAAAAATTTACTTTACGACTTAATTTTTTTTTCTATTTTGTAAACATTTACGTTTTTCGAATATGATACAATATTGTGACATATAGGTCCAATGGGCTGGGTGTTAATATCAGATTGCTATGTACTTAGTATATACTTGTATAAATATATGTAATTATACATATGTCACTAAAACGAATAATTACTTTCTTACTTACAATCCAAAAACTTATTACAGCTGTCAATCAATTGTATGAATAAAATGAAAAGATACAGATGATCTTAGACAGCATCATATAGTACAGAATATGATAGAAGAAGTGAGGGATCCTAAAACAATTCATTGCAAATTCTTTATGTAATCTGAGAGTTTAAGATAAATTTAAGATAATATTGAGAATGGAAACGAGGAATGTGTCAAAAGAGACAACAACCCGACAAGACTCTATTGAAGATTGGTCAGAGTGACTAAAAGCATGTTCAGTGAAATTTTCACCTTCTTTTAAAATTATGCCCTTTTATTCTTGCATTAAGGGTTCTGTTCTTCTAGTTTTATTCATTTTTTTATATCGATTAAATCTTAAATTTTCTGAATAATTGAAATACGAAAAGATAACAAAGATGGTTTGTATATAATTAAGGTTTACAAGGAAAAAATTAACACACATAAACATGGAACACAATCAAGAGCTCATCAAATGGTACACACACATGTACTTTTTTGAAACCGTTTGTTCCGCTCTAGATTTATTTTTGGTTTTATAAAGTTGCTGTATTAATTTATTCATTTTCATCGATAATGCTGAACTGGACATATACGCTGCATCATAAATTAGAACGTCTAATTAATAAAGGTCACATCTTTAAATATGTTAAGTGTGAACAATATAAGTCTATGTAATTCAGTGGATGTCGTTTGCTTCTGTGTAACATATTTGTTTTTTGTTCATTATTTTGTACATAAATTAGGCCGTTAGTTTTCTCGTTTGAATTATTTTACATTTGTCATTTCGGGGCTTTTATAGCTGACTATGCTGTATAGGCTTTGCTCATTGTTGAAAGCCGTACGGTGACCAATAGTTGTTAATGTTTGTGTCACTTTGGTCTCTTGTGGGGAGTCTCATTAGCAATCATTCCACATCTTATTTTTATATTTGTTGTTAGAGCAGAGACGACAGCTTAGGTGCATATATGTGCAAAACTTTTCAGATCAAGTGCTTAAATATACTTACCGAAGATACAAAGTTCCTTGTGTTTCAGGATATTTTTAAAATATACTAAAAAATTATTTAATCCGAAAAATCATTAAAAATGTAAAATAATTTTTTGTATTGTGGCGATTATTTGTGCTTCCTCGATTTTATTTATTGACAAAAACTAAAGAGTTTACTTTTGCTAATTTTGTCCATAATTTTTTTTCTTACCAGCTAGAACTGAAAGCCAATAACTGAAATCAATAAATAAGTATTCAATTAATATGCATGCCTAACTAGTACGAAATTAACACCCGGGAATAAGCAATGATCGGCAAGTCAAACCAATTATCAATTTCGTTTATTATGTACATAAGAATAAGGAGATTAATGAGACTCAAATTACGAGTGGGGCCTAGAAAGCCGAGTCGTCTAAGTAGTCTAACTACATCAACATTGAGGTTGTGAGTTCAAATCCGGCACGTTGTAGGTGCGTTCGATTCCAATCTTATTGACTAGGATTGTTAGTTTTCCTACCGAATGTCGATGGTTTTCTCGGCTTTCTCAACCATAAAAATCTGATCGCCATGAAATAGTGCAGATGTGCTGAAAGTGGCGTTGAACCCCAATAAAACAATCAATTAATCAAATGACGAAGATAAAAGCAATTATATGTAACCGCACGACTTTCGACAATGAGAAAAATCAATACCGTATAGTCGGCTATAAAAGGCCCCGACATAAAAAATGTGAAACAATTCAAACGAGAAAACAAACGTCCGAATTTATACAATACAATTTACGAAAAACATATATTAAAGACATGAACCAATGACAACCACTGAATAATAGGCTTCTGACTTGGGGAAAGGCACATAAAACATGTAGCGGAGTTCAACGTGTTTGTGAGCGCTCAACCCTCCCACTTACTTTGGACAGTGGTGTTATAGCACAATTTAAGAATAAACTGTAAAAATCAGTTGCAAATATTGCACACAATGCTCCTCAACTTCGTACTTTTTTTGGCCTTTTAACTTATTTTCAAGCGTCTCTGATGAGTCTTTTGAAGATAAAACGAAAGTCTGGCGAACAAAATTATAAGCCTTTGAAGAGTTTTTTACAGGTATTTTCTAAAAGTAATCAATTTTTGCTTTTAAAAAAATGTCTGGATATTTTAAGCATTTGAAAAAAAATGTCTGGATATTTCAGGCATGTTAAAAAAAATGCCTGCTAGTTTCGAGCAGTTCATATATTGACGAATGTTTTTTGAAGTCATTTTGTAAAATGCCTGTGAAATTGAAATGCATTTAAAATGCCTGAAATTTTACATTAATGAAATACATGCAAAAGCTGAGCCAATGAAAGTATGTTGAACAAGATGGTAGGATCTTTTTCACATGTGCCCTGGGTTTTTTCTTGTCCATCGTCTGTGCGTTCGTTTCCCCTGTTAACACATCTCCTCTAAGACCCTTTGATTTTTCCATAATTATATAGATTTTTTTATCATCATGTGTAGTTAACCACATTATACCACCATTTTGATTTTTTGGAGTTCGGGGACTCTGACCATTTTTGGACTATAACAAAAGGACAACAACAACAAAAAAACGCCTTCATGTGCTTGTATATGTGACTAATATATTCCATATGGTGTATTTGAGGTTTTTATTCTGTATACTAAAATGCTTAATGACTTGTTATGAGGATAATAGCAAGTTTCTTGTCCCTTCTATATCAACTTTTGCCCTCGGCTTCGCCTCGACAATTGTTCTTATCTCAGAAACAACAAATATTAAATTACCCTCATAACCAGGCAATATGTGTATACTACTGACATAATATGACGACCGATCGATAATAAAAGACAAATTAGCGTGTCGTTTGTCGGCCCTCTTCTTGGTGTCTCCAATATACAACCGAAACACTGAAACATCCAGATTAATATTATCAAAAAATAGATATGACAGTGAAACCATTAGTTATTCTACATTCCAAACGATATCAAACCACTCAATTGGAAGTTATATTAATTTGATACAATTTCAGGTTCGTACTTCAGTTAGGAACTGTTGGGCCCATTGTAATTTTTTACAATGGACTCCCACAAAATTTGTTGCATCATTCCAGCTTTTGGAAAGATTTATTAAAAAGATGGGTGTAAATGCCACGGAAGAAAACAGAATTTTAGGTGACATACACAATTGGAAAACAGACGGTAAGAAAAAATTAGAAATCGGAAAAATAGTGCTGATAATTTAAAATATAGGATATGCTTGCATATATTTTATATTTATAATGTTAAGCTCATGGTGTACGATGTATGTTGAAGTATGAGTTTTCCTAAAACCTTTTTCTATGCAAATATCTTAAAAAATACTTTGAATGTATTATTCATTGATTATCTTTTTTAAATGTGACAACGTTGTTGAAGACCATAACAAAGTCAAAAGAAACCAAAAAACTTTTTTAATTGTTGAAAATTCTGAAACTTCATCATTTAATGGTTATTGGTTTGCATTAAGTCTAATCATTTTATTTCTTTGGTTAAGGTATGAATTTTATGAATATATCCATGCTTGGAGCGGAACTGGTTGGTGAAATTCAAACCGCTACACAAGCCTTGACTGAATGCACTCAAGATGACTCCATAGAAACAGATTCAAATTTTCACCGGTTGCAGAAACAACTCATCAAGATAGAGACAAAATTTGAGGAGTTTAAAACTAATACAGGAAAATGGCTAAACGAAATAGGCACTGTATGTTTTTTTCTCTTTTATTTATGGGTTGGTTAGGGGGGTTATAAATGAATATAATACAACGTCAATTAGACAGTTACCAAGCAAAATAGTTTAAAAAAGTATTTTAATGGTCACAACCAATAGATAGACCGATCATTTCTTTGCAAAACATGTTCAGTGGCTGTCGTTGGTTCATGTCTGTCATATTTATTTTTCGTAAACTGTTTTATTACAAATTAGGCCGTTAGTTTTCTCATTTGAATTGTTTCATCCTAATTATCATCCAACATTTTTCATGTCGGGGCCTTTTATAGACGACCACATGGTGTGGGTTTTTCTCATTGTTGAAGGTCGTGTGGTTGCCTATAATTGCTAACATCCACTTCATTTGAACGTTGGTGGATAGTTGTCTCATTGGCAATCATACCACATCTCCTTATTTTTTATATGTAAAATTATGACATTCCAGCTCAACACAAAAGAAATCATTAGATATCTATCCGGGTAGGTTTATTTTCTAATATGCAATGAAATAAATAGAGGCGAACTTTTAAACCATTTTAATGCTTGATTTTAGAGGGAATAAAAGGATAACTAAATTTAATGGTGTTATTCCTTAACTGGAAAGAAAATAAAAAAAAGCATTTAACAAACCAAATATTAATTTTGGCATAACTTGTCATTTTGAATACAAAAATATAAAAAGTAAAGACATATGGTATGACTGCAAATTGACACCTCTCTACTAGAGTCCAAACGATGTGGAAGCAAGCAACTATAGGTCACCACTGGGCCTTCAACGATGAGCATAATCAATTTAAAAAGGCCCGGCATGACACAATTTTAAACAATTTAAACGAGCAAACCAATGGCTTGATTTACGGCAAAACAATTTACGAAAACCAAAAGGACAGACAACAACACACTGCAACCACTGATTACCATAACCCCTGCCTTGTGACAGTTACATAAAGAATGTGGTGGTCTTCAAAAGATGTACGCCAATAAAAATCATATTTTGCTAGCTAACACCTCTAAAACTGGAAATTTCCATTTTTAGCTTGTCGATGCTCACAATATGTATGCATATAAGAAAATGCATGAAATTTGAATCAGTGCACAAAAAGTAAATGCGAGTTTGTAAATACCAGTTTCTCTGGTATAAAAAGTGAAACATAGCTTGTTCAGATGTAAAAAAAAAATAGTTTTTATGAAGACGTTTTGAAATTATTAGACTTTTGATAGTTATATTATCTCATTTATTTGTCCAATGTAAACTACCTTAATTCATCCAAATACGAGATAGTGCCTCAAATCAAAGGATTTCTGTCACTTATCTGAAGAATAAGTGGAACAATTTTGTATGACATATTTAAACCACATTGACTTCTTTTTTACATAACTCATTAGAAAGGGGAAAAAATCATATCATATATTTTCTATTAAAGTCATATATTGCATTCAGTTCCGATTGATATTACTTTTAGAAAATACCTGTAATTTTGAATTTATGAAAATATTATTACAATATAGCAATATTTGATAGTATTTAGTACACATTTACCCAAGGGTAATAATAATGCAGAACAAAAGAATTATTGCAAACTTTACATATTGAATTGTTTCATATTTTTCATGTCGGGGCCTTTTATAGCCGACCGCACGGTATGGGTTTTCTCATTGTTGAAGGCCGTACGGTTGCTTACAATTGCTTACATCCACTTCATTTGAACTTTGGTGGATAGTCATACCACATCTTCTTATTTTTATATTGGATGATAATTAGGATGCAAGAACTTTCATTTCAAACAGAGCCTCATGTTATTATGAACATTTGACAAAAGTCAATAAGATAAATAAATACCCTTGAGGTTTAATATAATATCATAATTTGAAAATATAATAAACCAAATATACTCTACAAAAAATGTTAAGGACCATTAATTATATATTCCATTACAGTAGCATTATCATTCCTGTGTAAAATCTTCTATAGAAGCCATAGACTTGAGAGTGGCATGGAGGAGAGTAATTTTGCCGGATTATTGACAACTTATGTTACCTCAGTAACAACTTTATGAAGCTGGGTTGTAGTTGGTATCTATTCCTGAAAAAATACAGATTTCTGAAATTCATTCAACTTCATTCAGATAAGATCTTGCATTAAAATCTGATTCGTTAAGAATGATTTTGTTCCCACAAAATTCCTTTCTTTAAACTTTTTAGTACTAAAAAGTATAAACACTTTATTTTAACCACAATGAGCAAATTTCTAACATGACTGTTTAATTTTCAAAAAACAGCTAGGAAAGCCGTTCAGATTTTACACAAACAAAAATGAGAACGTGACAAAAACAATTCTTTTTTTTTTCGGTCATTCAGTATTGCATCGGCTAAATCTCCTCAGGGTGACAGTCAAACTTGGTCAAATGGTGTTAGAAATCATTGAAATCGAGAGAAATTATTTTTCTGGTGAAAAATTGTGATTTCTGAAAACTTGAGAGCTGAAAATTTAAAAAAATACTTTTGGAAGTTGTTGACATGCTAATGACAAAACACCCTGCTAGTTGCCGTGTGTCTTGGACCTAAAAAAAGCTTCATGGTATCTTTCATGCAATGGTATATCCCATTTCATAAAGCAACAAATATAATAGCAATGTACATATAACTTCTTACATTGGTACCAGTGGATTATCGGATTTATCCAATCTCGATAGTTAAATTATCGAATTTTAAAGTCCGAGCGTAATTTAACTATCGAGATTGGATAAATCCGATAACCTATGAATATCTATGTTTCTCTAATGATTATCAAATAAATTTTCACTTTTGAAAAACGAAAATCACCTTCGAGTACCTTCCATTCCACAAAGTTGTCGTCCTGAACATGCATGAAATATTTGCCACTGGACGTTAAGCAACCAACAATCAAATCTGAGATCGGCAACCACACGTTGATTAATTTTTCTTACACAATGGGTCCAGAAAGGGTTTAATTGCCGAAGAATTGGAGAAATCTATTCATAGATTGAATTTAGTATATTTCTATAAAAAAACTGTTTAAGACATTAATATCTTCTTTCATAAGTAACTCGGTGTTGATGAATTGAAGATGCTGTATGAACTATCTTTTTTTTTTCTTTTTTTTTCCAGAGATTATCAGATTGTAGTATTAATACAGGTACGTATTTATAACTTTGGTCTCCTGGAAAGAAATTGTAGAATAAAAAAAATGAAAACGCTAATTTAAAGTATTGAATAAACAGGTACTGATTTTGAAACGAATTAATTTGGATAAAACAAAACTAAGTAACTTGCATTCTAAAGGCATCAAAGTTTTAATAAATAATAAATAAATCAGAAGGAACCTTACGGTATGGATTTGCTACATGAAATTGCTGACGGTCGTATGGTGACCAGAAGCTGTTACAGTCCATGTTATTTAGCAGAAAGTTGTCTCATTGGCATTCATATCAAATCAAAGTAGGTTAACACGCTTCACATATTAATAACTACATTACATGTATGTTATAATATATATTCCGTAATTTTGATTGGCAGACAACAATCGCGAGACATTCCAAAATTAGATTTCATTTCCAAATAAAATTAAACAGTCATGACAACACGTGCTTTCCATTAGAGAGTCACAACAATGCAAAGGAAAACAAATGAAAAGCTGTTATAGAACTCGTAATGTAGGGTCGTATTATAAAAATGTAATTATAAGAATTGAATGCTTCTTTTTGCATTTTTTTTTAGGGTGTTGACGTTCAAATTTTGTATAAATCGTGGAAGACTGTCAAATGAACAGATGATGGATTGTAAGATTTTATTTCGCGATTAAGACGGGTATGAACGTCAATTATAACATATACAAATTCTTAAAGTGAAATGAAATATCAATAGTCATAGAAAATGAGTACATAACAAAGTCTTATATCTGTAATTCTATATATTCCAGATATGACTGAAGTAAAGAACAACACTCACTATCCAAACCGTATGTGCTATGGTAAGTTTACGTAATAAAAATCGTTGATCATCGGCCCAACTCGCTACTCCTTTCGAATAAGACTGGGAATCGACCGAGTTGCATATTTTTTTTTTAATCTTAAACAAGATTATCAGTTCGAAGCACCTCAAACTGTTGATTATTTTTTTCTCTTTTATGTTTATCAACTGGCATAGAATATCTTTTGAAACTAAATATAAGTTTTAAGAATCTGAACACGTTCTTAGCACCTTTATTAACACTTCTGGAAGATGTAAAGTTGAATATATTAATAATTGGTCATAATTAAAACGTCCTATGTACACTGCAAGAACAGACAACCATAAGCGTTTGCACATATATATATAAGTTCAGTTGCAGAAAACTTCTATATGACACATTCATAGCACTGTGGCATCTGGCATCTCTAAAAAACTAAGACTTAGTAAAATTAAAGGGAACGAGGACTAGCTTAATTTGTCTCCGTCTGATTGAAGTGACAAAGATACCATATACAAGTAAATTTTACTTAAATTCTTAAGTTTTGTTTAAATTTAAAACTAAAACAGTTGTTCTGACTTTTTGTTATGCCTGCATATATTGATATGAATTTTGGTACATTAGCGTATAATGATGACGTTTCTTTTCGTTTCGTTTCGATTAACTAACCCCTTTGACAGAACATCGGCCTTTGAACATGGAAATTTCATAAAAAGTTTATAAAATTTCTGCCACTCAAAACCATAAAAAAAAAAATAAACAATTAGAAGGTTCCCGTTAAAATTGCGTTCTGTCTTAGATTAAACGACCAACTATAGACAGCATATCCCTAAACGACAATTTAATTTGACAGGGGAACATATCTTAAACTTTCTTTATTGGTATCACGAATATTTTTGATAAAAGACAACGTAAACAGGTCTTGTGGCAACGCAATCAATATTGCATTAATTTTACTCTAAACTCTTGATCATTATCTAAAAGCAGTCGTACTCATAAATTATAAAACAAACTGGTTCAAATACCAAGTGTGAAAGTACATTTTTTTTTCAACAAGTGTAATACAATAGGGTTTTTTATTGTAACAGATGAGTGTTCTATAGTTGCTCTATAGCTTTTTGTCACCATAGGCCGTTCACTAGTGTTGATACGCATGATGATCCTAGATAAAAGAATATGGCTGAGGCAATCTATGCAAAAAAGGAGTGGTAGACAAACTTAGTATTTCGAATGAGTTATATTGATTTTCGAAAAACGAAAATGATTTACAGAGGTATTTCATTTTATTTACTTATCTAGTGTATGAAATTATCCTACTGTCCGAACTTTATATCTCCTTTTTTTAAATACCTTGAACCACGTACTTTCTCGTATATGTACAAAAAGGAGTAGAAGTTTTTAATATTTAACATCATTATACTTTATCTAAATTTCTTATATTATCTATTCATTTCATTGGACACGCGGCATTTGTTAATTTTCCCTAACTTTTCAAAAGCCCCGCCCACCCATAGCAACATGTGATAATATTAGCAATGGTTGTTAATGCCTAAAATTAACACCCACCTGAACTCGAAGTTTGCCGATTCGGAACAATTAACACCCGCTACGGCACCGCGCTGAAGTACGTCCATTATTCATTTTTCATTATTCAAAATTCAATAATGAATAATGAAATAGTTCACTATTCACTATTCAATATCAAGTGATGAATAATGAATAATGAAATAGTTTATGTTTCATTATTCAAGTTAAAGCGGTGAATAGTGAAATAAAAATTAAAAAATTGACTGTGACATTTTAGCTATATCCCGTATTTCTAAATTAGTCTCTTTGGTGTTATCTAACAAATATTCAAATTGATATAAGAAAAAATAAATAAAAACACTCTTTAAATTCTAATTTGATTTATTTATCTGGTTCCTAGTTTCGAAGGATAAACTAGTGGGTTTTCCTAACTATTTTTAACAGAAATTCCTTGGTTCAATGTATGGACGACCTGAATACCAAAACATATATTTATAAATTATAATACTCTACGTGGTCTTTTTTTATTTTCACTGGACCTTTGCTATTCTTCATCCTCTAATTATAGATATAACAAGTCGATTGTTCAGCAATAACCATTAGAGGGGTTACGGAGGACCTAAATGCCAAAGTACGCGTGAAAATTAAGAAATAGCCAATTTTGAATAATGAAATGGATATTTTGAATAATGGAATGGACTGCTGCGACCCTTTAGCCCCTAATTATAGATATACCTTATACCTCATTTGAAAGCTTATTAAGAGAGGAACAAAAGGTATATAGTCAATATGTTCCGCAACGCATATTAGAGGAGTAACGAAGGACCTAAATATCGAAATACGCGTGAACATTAAGAAATAGCTTATTTTGAATAATGGAATGGACTGCTGCAACCCGTCAGCCCCTAATCAAGGAAAAATTTATACATCAAATTGAAGCTTATTGATAGAGGAATAAACTGAGTATAAACGATACTTGCCGCAATGACCATTAGAGGAATTACGGAGGACCTAAATGCAAAAATACGCGTGAAAATTAAGAAATAGCCAATTTTGAATAATGAAGTGGATATTTTGAATAATGGAATGGACTGCTGCGACCCTTTAGCCCCTAATTATAGATATACCTTATACCTCATTCGAAAGCTTATTAAGAGAGGAACAAAAGGTATATAGTCAATATGTTCCGCAACGCATATTAGAGGAGTAACGAAGGACCTAAATATCGAAATACGCGTGAACATTAAGAAATAGCTTATTGTCGAGCCTGCGACTTTTGTCGCAGAAAGCTCGACATAGGGATAGTGATCCGGCGGCGGCGGCGGCGGCGGCGGCGGCGGCGGCGTTAGCTAACTTCCTAAAAGCTTTATATTTTAGAAGGTGGAAGATCTGGATGCTTCATACTTTGTATATGGATGCCTCATGTTACGAAGTTTCCGTCAGTCACATGTCCAATGTCCTTGACCTCATTTTCATGGTTCAGTGACTACTTGAAAAATAAGTTAAGATTTTTTGTAATGTTAAATTCTCTCTTATTATAAGTAATAGTATAACTATATTTGGTATGTGCGTACCTTGCAAGGTCCTCATGCCCGTCAGACAGTTTTCACTTGACCTCGACCTCATTTCATGGATCAGTGAACAAGGTTAAGTTTTGGTGGTCAAGTCCATATCTCAGATACTATAAGCAATAGGTCTAGTATATTCGGTGTATGGAAGGACTGTAAGGTGTACATGTCCAACTGGCAGGTGTCATCTGACCTTGACCTCATTTTCATGGTTCAGTGGTTATAGTTAAGTTTTTGTGTTTTGGTCTGTTTTTCTTATACTGTTTGCAATAGGTCTACTATATTTGGTGTATGGAATGATTGTAAGGTGTACATGTCTAGCTGGCAGGTGTCATCTGGCCTTGACCTCATTTTCAAGGTTCATTGCTCAGTGTTAAGTTTATGTGTTTTGGTCTTTTTTTCTAATACTATAAGCAGTAGGTCAACTATATTTGTTGTATGGAAGAATTGTTAGCTGTACATGCCTGCCTAGCATGGTTCATCTGACCTTGACCTCATTTTCATGGTTCATTGGTCAATTTTTAGTTTACTAGGTTAATCTTAAGTTTATGTGACGGTTGTAATAAAGCTTTATATTTAGGACTATCAACATAATATCAATGATTAGTAAAGAAGGCGAGACATTTCAGCGTGTGCACTCTTGTTTTGAATAATGGAATGGACTGCTGCAACCTGTCAGCCCCTAATCAAGGAAATATTTATACACCAAATTGAAGCTTATTGATAGAGGAATAAACTGAGTATAAACAATATGCGCCGCAATGACCATTAAAGGGGTTACGGAGGACCTAAATGCAAAAATACGCGTGAAAATTAAGAAATAGCCAATTTTGAATAATGAAGTGGATATTTTGAATAATGGAATGGACTGCTGCGACCCTTTAGCCCCTAATTATAGATATACCTTATACCTCATTCGAAAGATTATTAAGAGAGGAACAAAAGGTATATAGTCAATATGTTCCGCAACGCATATTAGAGGAGTAACGAAGGACCTAAATATCGAAATACGCGTGAACATTAAGAAATAGCTTATTTTGAATAATGAAATGGACTGCTGCAACCCGTCAGCCCCTAATCAAGGAAAAATTTATACACCAAATTGAAGCTTATTGATAGAGGAATAAACTGAGTATAAACGATATGTGCCGCAATGACCATTAGAGGGGTTACGGAGGACCTAAATGCCAAAATACGCTTGAAAATTAAGAAATAGCCAATTTTGAATAATGAAATGGATATTTTGAATAATGGAATGGACTGCTGCGACCCTTTAGCCCCTAATTATAGATATACCTTATACCTCATTCGAAAGCTTATTAAGAGAGGAACAAAAGGTATATAGTCAATATGTTCCGCAACGCATATTAGAGGAGTAACGAAGGACCTAAATATCGAAATACGCGTGAACATTAAGAAATAGCTTATTTTGAATAATGAAATGGACTGCTGCAACTCGTCAGCCCCTAATCAAGGAAAAATTTATACACCAAATTGAAGCTTCTTGATAGAGGAATAAACTGAGTATAAAAGATATGTGCTGCAATGACCATTACAGGGGTTACGGAGGACCGAAATACCAAAATACGCGTGAAAATTAAGAAAAAGCCAATTTTGAATAATGAAATTGATATTTTGAATAATGGAATGGACTGCTGCAACCCGTCAGCCCCTAATCAAGGAAAAATTTATACAACAAATTAAAGCTTATAGATAGAAGAATAAACTGAGTATAAACGATATGTGCTGCAATGACCATTAGAGGGGTTACGGAGGACCTAAATGTGAAAATACGCGTCAACAATAAGAAATAGCTTATTTTGAATAATGGAATGGACTGTTACGACCCTTCAGCCCCTAAATACAGAGAAACCTTAAACGTCATTCGAAAGCTTTTCAATAGAGAAACAAAAGGTATATAGTCAA